GTTAACAGCAGTGCAAATTAAGAGGTTATATTAAGTCGGTAGTCTGATACGGGCTTTAAGCCGGTTGCGCCTGTCTGATAAATCTAGGACTCTAGTTTACTACAGCTGCAACTTTCACTAGTTCCTTTCGGGCGTGGCGATTGCCCGCCCTGGCAAGGGAAGACGAAAATAGTGGAGAGGGGGGGGCGAAGCGACGGCCTACCGCCGAATGTTTTGCCCTATTGTTCGGGGATGTCGCGTAAAAGAGTGGATTTCGATTGATTCTGATTTAGGCAAAGTGAAATCTAAGCGGTGGCGATGTGTTTTGCGTCTGTCGAGATGAGACTAGTGCACTGCGACAAGCGTAGACTGCGGTAATACCAGTGGAAAACGTCGAGGAAATCCACGAACGTCTCTTTGTCATGGACATGCAGGCTTCTAATGGTACGCACTTGTTTTCCTATTCGGCACGTTTCGCCTCTGACCGGCCGATCGTTCTCTTCTCAACGACGACGCGATGTTCTTGGATCAATCTTCGCGTTTATTTATGTACCGAAACAAACGCTCGCCGGGGACCATTAAACGCGCGAGACACGCAAGTATATGATAGAAGGGGTTAAATAAAAATACGTTCTTCAGATTTTCTAGCGTTATTTTTGGAGCCTGAACGCTATCTACAAATTTGCGCAAAAAAATTATAATAAAATCGTGCAGCTCATTATTTCGATAGCGTAATTATTGCGTCGCGCTACGGATGAATATTGAGTGAAATTACATTCCATGGTATAGAGATTGTAGATTACTGTCCATAATAGAATTTGTCCAAGTCTAAAACATATGTCATTAGTATGATATTAATTGAATAATCTATAATTTGTTATTTGTGTACTTCAGTTTCTATATGTATTGCTTAAATGGAGTTTCTCTTAAATTTGAAATAAGATTTTTTCTAATACATTCTAGTATTTATACAATACTATACAATTTTCTTTGTGAACAGAATTTACGAAAGAATATTTTTGTGTTAATAATTCGACTAAAAGTAACAATTGGTGAATCGTGTGAATATAGGAATGGATGTGTGTATGAATACAGTGTATACTCCCATCCCTGGATTTCCTGAACAACTAGGGATGGTATGGATGGGAGATATGATGCTGGGGGAACCTGCTCACGAACTGATGCTGGATCCCCGTCAAAGCGAGAGCCCGTTTTTCTCACATGGTTCACATCCCTATGAAGATCTGAGAAATCATATTGCTTCTACTACTATGGTGCGCTACATACCGCAACAGTTCTCAAATGAGTGTTCCGAACCTGATGAAGCAATGGATGCTGTTGATACCCATGAGATGCAGCAAGTGAGTTTTGTTTTTACAGAAGAAACTTGATTTTTATGCATATATTCTTAATATTATAATTTTCATATTTTTCAAGGATTATGACTCACAGTCTGAAAGACCTGAGATAAATGAATATTTGACATTAGAAGATTACATGGGCGATGAAGAACGGGAACAAATTGTGAGCAATGCGGCGACTCAGACTACTCAAGACAATCGCAATCGAAAAATAAAACCTATAAAGCATCCAGGACTTGTTTTAAAAACGCCAATTGCTTATCAGCCTCATACTGATTTAAATTTTATTCCTATTCGCAAAGATGGTATAGGTAAGTGTAATCATTGTAAAAAGCCAAAATATGTATTTAAACAGAAAAATATCATTTAATCTTAAATCGTTAAAATTACAACTATTAAAAAAAGAAATAGAAGATTTAAATAAATATTAAACTGTATTTGCAACTTGACCATTTATATCTTTCTATCGTAGAAAATGTTTCCTGCATAAAGTCTTAAATTTTTATTTTATAGCTGTTTGTGAAAAATGTGGTGCTATTGGAGTAAAACATGCCTTTTATACAAAGGAGCGTAGATTTTGCAGTAGGGCGTGTGCACGTTCTTCAGAACACATAACACCTACTGCTGACTCCACATATAGTCCATCTCACTCGATGGATCAGCCAATATCTACAAACCAAACTTCTTCTATTGAAACAAAATCGATGGATGTAAGTTAATACTGAATTTACAGATAGAAAATATATGACAAAAAGCTACATATAGCATACAATAAGCAAGAAACAAAGCCTATCTTAAGCTTTAAATAATTACTTGTGAATTTATGTAAAACGTTTGTAGTTTCTTGAATTGTGCGCTGAATTGGTTTTTTCGAGGTGATATTTTTTGCAATAAATTTATTTTCATATTTTTAGTACATTAAAATCTCTTTAAAATAATTCCAATTGAACATCCAATTATTAAATTGCTTGTCAATTTAATTTGAGATATTACTATAGTAGTTCGATTGCGTTTCTAAGTCCGAAAAAACCAATTTGGCCCCCAATTCAAGAGACTACAAACGTAGTAATAAATTCACATGTAACTATTTAAAGCACTTAAGATCCAGTTTCGACCGGTATAGATTTTGTCTCTTGTTTGTTGTATATTTACAACACGCCATGTCTTAGCGCCGAGACACTACCGTGTCTCCAGATATACAGTCCTAATAAATCGTTTTTAAACCAATTTCAAGATTATCGTAAAAGAAGAAGTAGATGTTAAGGAATTCGTAGAATCAGAAAAGGACAAAGTTAAATTAGAGCCAGTAATGCCAGAAGATTTACCGGTTAGAAGAAAAAGAACAGCGGAAATGGCAGGTTCCTACGACTGGACATCACAGCTTATTGAACCTGGATTTTGTGCTGCACCAGTCTCTTGTTTCAAACATGTTAGTTTCTCTAAGAAATTTTTATCTTTTATGCTCAATTTCTTCATCACTAGATATCTTTATCCAAGAGATATCTCCTAGAATACAATGGAGATATCTCCTGGATAAGGTTGTTCGCAACTTATCTAGAAGTGAAGAAATTGGCCATTAGACATATAATTTTATAAAGGTGTTATATTATCAACTTTCTTTTTAGGCCCCTATATCAGAGATTTGGGATAATATCACAGTAGGTATGAAAGTAGAGGTAGAAAATACCGACTGTGATGAGGTATGCGAGGCTTTCCCAGATTCATTTTGGGTTGCAACTGTATTACGTATATGTGGATACAGAGCTCTGTTAAGGTATGAAGGTTTTGGACACAATGCAGACAAAGATTTTTGGGTGTCACTTTGTTCTAATGACATACATCCCGTTGGTTGGTGTGCCACAATTGGAAAACCTCTTATTCCACCTAACAGTATGTAATCGAAATTATTTATAACAGAACGATAACGCACGATTTAAAAAAATCCATTGATAAGAATGATTATTAAATTTGGAAAAGTGCGTGCGGGAAAATTTAGTGTATTGTATGATTTTTTCAGCAATCGCAAACAAGTACAAAGATTGGAAGGATTTTTTAATGAGGCGATTAACCGGCGCGAGGACATTACCAACAAATTTCTACAATAAAGTGAACGATAGTATGAAATCTCGATTTCGATGTAGTCTTCATTTAGAAGTGGTCGATAAAAACAGAATCTCACAAGTGAAAGTGGCGACGATACAAAAAATTGTTGGTAAACGTTTGCATGTAAGATATTACGATTCGTCTCCGGAAGATAACGGGTTTTGGTGTCACGAAGACTCGCCCCTCATACACCCCGTTGGCTGGGCCAAGAAAGTGGGACAGACGCTAGATGCGTATCCTGAGTATTTGAATCGTGTTTCTAAATCAAAATTATCTGAAGACGATGCAACGGAGAATCTTTTTCATGTGCCAAAGAATCACATTCATCTCGCATTCAAGTTTAAGGAAGGAATGAAAATAGAAGCCATTGATCCACTCAATCTTTCGGCTATATGCGCGGCGACGGTTATGCAAGTCTTGGAAAAGGATTACATTATGATTCGTATTGACAGTTATGATGCAGATGCTAGCGGTGCTGATTGGTTTTGCTACCATTCGTGTTCGCCATGCATTTTTCCAGTTGGCTTTTGTTCCCAACATGGTCTACCTTTAACACCGCCAAAGGGTTACGATCCTACCACATTTACATGGGATGCATATCTAACAGAGACTAATACCGTACCTGCTCCTATGCAGTTATTTAATTGGGTAATTTTTCTATATATTTATAAATTAGTTCTTCCTCTTACGTTAGGCCCCTGGCCTGTGTTACACCTCATATGCTTGTGGTGTGCACGCTAATTCAATTATCACAAGCATATGGGACCTACAGTTTTAATGCCGGTTCCGAACGGCGGATTTTTTGAGAGATGTTTCTGTGTGCAAGGATACTCTCGGAAAGTTGCCGGCCTTTTCCGAGAGGAGACACAAGCGTAAATATTTTAATTTCTACCAGGATCAAACCCGGGACCTCTGGCACGATAGACCAATGCGCTATCTGCTATGCCACGCTCGCGCTGTAAATTATTTTCTTTAAATTCTTATTTATAATTTGTAATTGCGATAAATAAACTAAGTATATTTTTTTAGGAAATTCCTCAACATGGATTTATTGAAGGAATGAGACTGGAAGCTGCTGATTTAATGGATCCTAGATTAGTTTGTGTTGCTACTATTACTAGGGTGATTGGCAGATTACTGCGAGTACATTTTGATGGTTGGGAAGACGAATATGATCAATGGTTAGATTGTCAAAGTCCAGATATTTATCCTGTTGGGTGGTGTGATCTTGTCGACCATAAATTGGAAGGGCCGCGTGTACTCGTAAAAAACACTAGTCCTACTGGTACATACCAATTCTATGCGTATTTATACATATCGATAGGTATTTATACATATCGTGTCGCTTTCACTTTTTACATCCAGAATTTTTGCTTCTTTGTTTCCAACTTGAATATATTTCTATCTCATTTTAAGTGCAGACATTGGCTGCGTTCAGCAGAAAAAACTGCTCACTGAGCGCTCATTGAACAAAAGAGGAATTAATATATGATTAATTCCTTTATTGTTTAGTGAGCGGTTTTTTCTGCCGAATGCAGTCATTTTTAAGAATTTCAAGCAACACGAGTAGCTGATCGATTACAAACAAAATAAACAAACACAGACAAGCGATCTTATTTATATTTTTTTTATATTCTTGTATTTGTACATATGTTACAGTAAAATCACCAAGAGGCCTTAAACGTAAAGCTAAGAGAAAATTGAAGAAAAGTAGCAAGATGTCTTGCTCCAAAAATATACTACCTCGTCAGAGCGAACGTATTAGTATGTCTCGTGAACGCGGGCGAGAATTAGAACCTGCTCAAGGAACGAAAATTGAAAGAGAACGTGATTTAGAAAGTTTACCGGAACAAAGAAGCAGAGAACCGGAAACAGCACAAGAGCCAGCTGGACCTGACCAAACTTTACCCAGTCCCACTACTGGACAAGGTCAAGCATTGAACGATACACCAAGTGAAGTACACAGCCCTCCACCACCCAAGAAACCGGAAAGAACCGCTACATCATATATAAATGTAAGTTTATTATTATTTCCATAAATATCGGAGATAAACAGTTAGAATTATAGATTAAATTCTGGTTTGTAGGTTACTTCAGCGAGTACTAAATATATACCAAGGTTAGCAGATGGTGTGCAAAAAAGTTCGGAATCCGGTGATCTAGTGCCATCTGAGTGGAATGTTTTTGATGTTGCACAATTTCTTCGAGTTAATGACTGTGCGACGTATTGCGATAATTTCAGTAAACGTAAAATAGATGGAAAGACATTGCTGACTCTCACTAAGGACCAAATAATAGACCTAACAGGTTTCAAAGTTGGACCTTCTCTAAAAATATTTGATTTAATTCAGCAATTAAAAATCAAAGTGAATCCAGCTCAGGAAAGGTTGAAACTAGGATTGAAGAAAATATTATAACAAAATTAGTATGTAGTTAGCACTATAAATAAGTTCCATCATTATGCAAATTAGACATGGATTTACAGGTAAGACATGTGAGATAACGATAATTAAAGAGGTGCCTTCCAATAACAAGATACATGACACGATGTGACATGATACATCAGTACATCTTTGTTGTTCGCCAATGTTAAACAAGGATGAGATGATCATTATTGTATTGAGTCGCTTGTTAGAGGGCACCCAAAATCATCTCTATTTCAATACAGTTGTGTATGTTGTTTGTTACGTACTTTCCTAATGTATTGAAGGAGAATGTTAATATGTAATATATAAATTCTTTATAATATAAAACGCGTAAAATTTAGATGCTGTATGCTTTATTATGAGTTAAAAGACATTTTACCATTCTAGAGGGCAGTTGCCTTCTTAATTTAATTTTTAATATCTTTGTTCAGATAAATATAAATAATGTTTATTAAAAATAATTTATTAATGATTATCCCCTAATTTTTAGTGCATAAAATAAAAATAAAATGTAAATCAGAGAGAGTATTTTAATTCTATTATTTAAACATTTTAGTTTTCGAATGTCTAATATTAAATCTTTCAAATATGTATAGAAATATATATGAAAGAAACACACTATAAATATTTTAAATAAATATAACAGAGAGAAAAATCATGTTTATTGAAATCAATGCCTTTAAATATTATCCTAATGTAACTTATCAATCACATATTTGACTTTAATTTTATCTGTATTTCATTAATTGTATAAACAATTATGAAACATTTTATTAATGAAAAAATTTTTTCTATTTTGTATTAATTTATGACATTATGTAAGTAGAGTTGACAACAGGAAAGTTTTATTATTATGTAAATCCGTATGATTAAATTTGATTAATTTAATTCAAAAAGTGATTTTAATCATTCTCAATTGTTGCTATCATAGGTAACAAAAAACGGAGAGAATATGCGTTTCAACAAGGTCAATTGATTGTTACAAAAAATCTTTACAACTATATGTATTTCTTATCAATTTTCAGCCACAGATTTCTTATTACATCAGCTTGGTTTAAAGTTTTTAATTATCATTAATATTTTTTTTAATAAAAAAATATTGTATTTTTCATTTACATGATTGATTATAATTATTTTATTGAAAATAAGATGCATGATTCTTTATAAAAACAGTCGATTCATAGTAAGCCTCCTGAATTTGATTTTGACTCACATTCCATATGCAAGATTCATTTATGAGAGATTTATTAATTGCAAACTATCCATTGTACAGATACATATTTCAAATAAAAGTTATCGAGGAGAACATACATTATATAATACTCTGATAAAAATAAACAAGATATTGCTTAATTTTAATATTTCTAATAAATTAGAGATATTTAAATTAGATATATTATACATATATGCATAAAAAAAATATAAACTTACATAAGAACTGCATTCTAGAATGGATTGCTCTGTTTAAAATAAACAGCATCTAATTTTATGATTTCTGTTATAGAAAAAATTGAAATTAAATTTTTTCACAGTGATAGCTCACGTTTTATAAATATACATAAATATGCATTTATTTACATATATATATTTATACCTGACACATGTAAGGAAAACTCGATGTACGTATATTGCACTTATACATACTGCATAAATGCGTGACATATTTTTTGCAATATGTTTTTGTACGAAGTTTTTCTTTCAACCACGACGTTATTTGTAAATCCATGCTGCTCTGCATTACAAATACGGATGCATCAACCACATACAAACCATTATATGAAAATGAGTTCATTCAGATATTAAATGAAAATAACATTTTAGGCGCTGCGCATTTTACAGATATGCTTCGACAGAGTAACTTAATACAGATATATTGCAAAGAGAAAGCAACCACAAAGTACAAACATCTTTTCTTTTTATCAATCCAATACCGATCAATGTTGAGGAATACGATGCCATTTTTTACAGAGGAATGTACTTCTGTCTATTTTAATAAATCTATCAATTCACTTTGCACATACATCATAATATATACATATATATATATATAAGAATAAAATTGTATATAACTGAACAGGAAAGAAATCGAGATGTAAGTCTTGTACATATTATATGTGTAGCGTGATGTGTTAGTTTAGTCGTCTCTCTCCAAACTATGACACATGACGTCGCGCATCACGATTAAAGATTATATATGGTTTATGTGTAAATTATGAAGTGGTTGATGCATGCGTATTATATACATTATATCCATATATCGCTTAGTCACTTCTAAACCGAATCAAAGCAGTCAGAATGAAATTAAAGACTACCGCTCTTAAACACTATTTTAGTACTACGCAATAATATGGTTGCTCGCCGATTATTTATTTGACAATTTGGAATCTGTAGAAATTAAATCTTTTGTCTGTTGTTTTTCAAAGATTATTCCATAAGAATATCTCGCGTATGAATGACCAATCATGAACATTGTATTTTCCATTCTCATCGCAAATCATCACAGATTTTTAATAACAGGTAGAAAACGAAATGTATATATTTTAAACAGTTTTCGATTCGAATCCTCATTAAATTATCTGAGATTCTGATCTTTGTTTCTGATAAAATTCTCCGTTAACTTTTGCGAGCTTCTGAATCAAACAATAACGTGCAACATTTATATGTCGCGATACGTTGCGATATATTACTCAATTTACTAAACTTACGCCATCGAGGAATTATATGTAAGGGCATTAAAGGGATTAAGGTAGCAATAACCTTAATTTATCAAATTTTTTGCTTTTTTTTTATATTGACGAGAACACGAAAAATAGTCTATTACTCGCTTGTTAATATTTTTTTGTTTTTGTGTATGTTGTCTAAAACATAGAGCTTAAGAATTTGGTTTAGTGAAAGAAAACTACTATCCGATACACTACCCGATACTTTCTCTACGATTGTCTGAGATTATCGTGTAGAATATAAATTTATGTTTTAGTCGAGTATAAGAATTGCACAACCGTAAGTACAAAAGAGCAATGCCGATTATGTTTTAAAGCTCGACCATGTGCTTAAATTATATTTTGGATCTGCGATAATTATCTCAATACTTAAATCATGCATTGTATAACGATTTCGAATGTTCGCCATTAATTTTAGACGATCGCAAATTTGGACGATTGTAATAGGGTGTTACTTTACGAGAAGCACCTCCTCTCTCTTAATAATACAGAATTTTTTTTATCTTTATCATTATTGACGCGCTTAGAAAAAATGAAAATATGCTGTAAAAATATGTAGTAGTTATTACATCTTACCCCTCTATGCCGTATATTGTCACGTTACATATCAGTTTCTCTATTTGTACTCATCTTTCTTATTGTGGCATTAAACTTACAGAGAGAATGTGACATTCCACGTTTTCGCGAGTGAAAAATATGTAGGCTATAGAGGGTTAAGAAAATAAAATGAATATTTGCCAGGAAAGATTATAATTACTGCGAAAAATTTTTTTATCGGACTCAATATCGTAGATTTCTCTTAAATATAAATTTGATATTAAATTCATATACCTAATTCAATAAGTTGCAATTAATGACTTTTTAATAAAAAAAAAATCATTTATATTTTATGGCCTTAATGATATACCATACGATACGATAAGACGTAACATGTTTGTGAATTGAATTAAGGACGCTATAAATTTAATTGTTTATTATTTTCACTAATTTCTTTATTTGAGAAAATGAAGAAAATTAAATATGTCGCGTAAAAGCCGCCGATACTTTCTAAATATGTATATTAAATTAGAACCACATTGCTACAAATTCGCGATATATACATATTTGATTGTCGTAAAATCTGCGAAACAATGAGAATTTCGAATTTTGTTAAATCAAATTTACAATATCGATTGGTATCACTTCTCTAAATACCGTTTGCCGGTAACGCAGACATTTAATATCGCCTAGACGATAAATTTCGCGCGTTATCAGTGGAACATTATTAATTAAAGTTTGTCCGCAGGATGTCGTGCTGGGTAGTAATCATTAATTATAACGCATCAGAGAATCGTCCGATTCATCGATTTGTTGCGTCTTCCAAATTCTACAGTTTCCTTCGATAAAAGTAGCAGCATTCCGTAAACGGTGTGCAGCAGAAATAAGGCGATCATGTTCGTGTAATTAGAATAATAAAGCTGCGTTGGTCGACACGTTGGAATGCGCAGAGCACAGATCGTGCAAAATGACGTGTTACGACGACCGGGTTGTAGACCGGTGGTCGTCTACTTTCCGCGTCGCGTCCGGCGCCTCGTAAAATGCGGCGAGACGCGTTGAGCGAGCGTTGGTCGACGCGGCAAGACGCGGCGAGAGTCGCGGAGGAGAGGAGTGGCGCGGTGAGGCGAGGGCGAGAATCGAGATGGAGCGCGACGGAGTGGGATGCGGCGCGGAGTACGGCGTGGTGCGGCGCGTTGCGTCGCAGCGGTGTGGGAAACGTTGTGTGTGAGCGGCCCGCCGACTGTAGCTCGTGTACAGATGGTCGGCTACGTGTACGGTGCTTACGCTCGCGACCGCGCGCCAAGCGGGTGAGAGAGAGAGAGAGAGATAGAGAGAGAGGGGGGGACGACGACGCGGCGGTGGGGGTACGAGTAGACTCGCGTATTCTATGGGCGGGGCTTTGGCCAGCTGGCAGATGTTTCCCGCGCGGCCGCGTCATTCCTCTAGCGTAAACCTACGCGACGCGCAAGTAGTCCCCGCGCCGTGGCGTCGTAGATTTCCCGCGACCGGGCCATCGTCGGTCACCTACGTTGCGCGAAACTGTGGATTTACGCGCGTCTAAACGAGCGAACCGAGAAGGTAACCGAACAGCGGTCCGGGGATAAGCCGGATTTTGCGAGCCGGATCGTGAGGATGAGCTGACGGGGGATTGGTCTGAAGTGAGTCGCCGCTCAGGGCAGAGCGAAGTGCGCGGCTTCCCCCTCGGTGTCGAGCGCGAACCGCCTCCGATTGTGCGGCGAGCCGCGACTTTGGAGCGTGTCGTCTACCTCTCGGGGTGAGATTCTCCGCGAACGTTTGCCGCGCGCGCGCCGATATCCGTCCGACGGTTGATTACGTTGTACGTCGCGAGCGTACCGCACTTGTCGCGTGCGCGGACGAGAATCAATTCGCGCGCGATGATCCTACCGGCGTACGAATTCCGAGACGAAACGTCGCTGCACATCCTCGCGTCTTAATCGGAGCGGTTATCGAAAATCTTCGATGCTGACACGGCAAGTGGAAGGGACCGAATACACGAAACATCGATTGGGACGAATGTCAACTTGACGCGAGTGCTCCCGGCCTCGAGTCGTGTAATATTCAACGGGGGAAAAAAAATAAAAATACGTGCGAGTCATCGATCAGTGATGCGTTTCAGAAGCTTTTTTCAAGACCATAAGATTTAATGTGCTGTAAATCGCCCGAATGGACAGATTGAAGGCATCTTAAATCTCGCCGGCGAGATACCGCAAGAGAGAAAAAAAAGTGCGTTCCGCGAGTGAAGGAAAAAGTGACGTGACGCCCTTCGGTGGAGAAAGAAGCGCCCGTCGCTCCAGCCGCGTAGCTACGCTCCTGACGCCGGGCGGCGGAGTGATCCACGGGGCGCCGTGGGGGCCCTCAGCTGTTTCCCGCCAAAGATCGCCATTACAAACGCGTTCGGGCGTTGTGTGTGCGCGCCGCGCGGAGCGTGTGGCTGTCTCGTGGACGAATCTTCTGTGCGTGTCGCCGGCGTCTGCTTGGAGGTGAAGGAAAACGGGGTCGTCGCGAGACACGGCGTGAGCCGGAAGTGGCGAGTAATCGGCGTTATATACGTGCATCGTGCATCTCGCGAGGCGGAGACGCGTTTTGATAAATCGCGCGTTGTTTGTCCCCCTCCTCCGCCCCCGGAGAGGAGTGCGCGACGAGAGTGAAGGAGGCGAGCGAATCGACAGCGGGGCGAGAAAGAAAGCGAGGAAAGAAGTGCGCGAGGAACCGAGTGTCGAGCGATAATCAGAATTCGAGAAGGAAAGAGAGAGAGAGAAAGAGAGAGATCCAGCGGGATATCCGTTGTTTTTTCGCCAGCCGCGACGACGGCCGTCGGAAACGTGAAATTCGTTCGGCGGGGACTCTCGGTGCCGCGGACTGACAAGATATGTCAGTGTTTGGTAGTGAAATCGATCGGATTTTGCTCGAGGAAATCGTCGAGTCGACTGACCAGCCGGAAACTGACCTGTGCGGGTAAGTCCTTTCTCATATATCTTTTATTTTGAGAAGAAAAAAAGGGACGTTTCGCTCGTTAGTGGTAGTAAAGCGGTGTGCGTGGTGATGGTGCAGTGTGCGAGCACCGTCGTGAATCTATGTATGCGTGCGCGTGTATATATGCACGTATATACCCCGTGCCCGCGTTTGACACGACGAGGTTATACGTATACGGTACGGAGCTTCGTAATAGAGCGGAGTGAGATCGAACGAGCGAGAAAGAGAAAGAGAGAGAGAGAGAGAGAGGGAAAGACGGGAGAATCGAGTACGAGTAGGAGAGACGATCTTTATTGGCTCTCTCGAAAGAGTGGCGTGCCCGAGCCGCTTATCG